TAAATACCCGTAAGACAATATTTATTATCAGTTTAGATATAACTAAAAAGTTCCTTTAAATCTAAAAACCCCATTATTTTTGTTGAAAAAAAGAAACGAATTTGGATTGCTGAATGCATCGAAATCGAACAGCTTTATCAATTGCTTTCTGGAGGGAAGTTTATTTCATCAAAGCCGTGCAAAAGAAGTGATTTGGCTATTAAGTTGGTTTAATTCCAGCTCCCGACGTAAAAATATTAGGACGATCATATTCACTTATTGAGATCAAAAGTGCAGTTTTGCTAAACAGGTTGGGATACTTTACTTAAAATTGGCGCCATGTCTTAACATAAATAATCCATGGGTTTCAACCAATTTGAATTTTAGTACTTGCTTTGCCTGCAAATCGTAATCTTGTTATTTTTGTAAACATGCTTTCCCTGGCCTTTGCCATAATTTTTATTATCAATTTTGCATGCCCATTTTTATCTATTTATAAACATTGTGATAGTTAAATTCTTTATCACAACTTACTTTCCAGTGTTCAATTTTCTGCCATAACTATATGAATCAAACCTCCTTTCATGCTATCAAATTTATAGTAGAGAACTCCAATCTCTTGAAATTAATGCAAATTATTGAGTAAGCCTGTCACTAAGCTTGAGGATAAGTTGCGACATTCCGTCTTATCATGTTTGGCTTATGGATGCAGTATCCATGTAAACTCAATAAAGAAAAAAAACATTCTTATATGTTAGACTTAGGTAACCGGGAGGAAATCGATACATTGACAGATAAACTAAAGCAAATCCGTTGTCCTAAACATGCCTCATCTATCTTCCAATGTCTTTATATAATATTCCGTTTCACTCTAATTTATTCCCACTCCTAAACTAGTATTTTGCCGCATAATTTTCCATAGCTGCACTTCTTTGCAAATGCTGAGTGTCCTATTCAATTCGGCGAAAAGGGTATACTTTTTGTTAATCGGCGAGATGGTCGGGCTACAGGTGATGCCTTTGTCATTTTCTCCGACGATGTTTTGGCTAAAAGAGCCCTGAAGAATCACCGCCAGCATATTGGAAATAGATATATTGAATTGTTCCGCTCCACTCCAGCCGAAGTCAACCAGGTGAGTGATATTAAATAAATTTGCTCTTAATTAGTTTAATAATTGACGTCACATATTCATGTCATGTGCATTGTCACTAGATTATGCCTTAACATATTGTTCGAACATTACAAATTGTAATTTTGAATTGCAGCATATTTAATTACCTCTTGTTATTTTCCAATTAAGTGTTAAGCATCCCCATTAAACCGATTCTACATTATCATAATTCCGCACAAAGTAGAAGATACAGAGCAAAGTTATTTTTTATTGTGTTAAAATAATATTAAAACTCTACGAACACTCTATAGCAGGCAGTATAGAAGATTGCTGGTTGGCTTTCGGAGTAGTTTATTTTTCTATATTTGCTGCTAACATACATTTTATTTCGTAATTGTACACTTTTCTGAGTAATTCTTGCACTAGATTAAGTTCATCATTGACCAGGATATCGAAGAAGAATGCAAACAATAAGTTTTTGAAAGCTTAAGTTGAATGAAAACCATGAGGCTGTTGCAGACAACTGCATTTTTGCAAGACGCCTGAAGGCTAATGAATAGAACAAAGTGTAAATTTGGTTCTTAATTTAATCAGATTATCGGGCAAAAGGCTAATATCCACTCGTAAGCAGTACATGTTCCCCAAATGTCAGTGTCTGCTATGTGTATTTCAAGTTAATATGGGCCCATTATGCTTAACATTGTTTTTGCAGAAGGATTAAACACATGAAGAAAAGTAACTAGCTGTGCAACATCCAAAGCTGCAAAAATTAGATCAAATCCAAGGCTTTAGTCTCGGCACAGCATTTTTCAAGCACAACAGCAAGGACATCCTTCATAAGTGTGAATCTTATAAATAGTTCGAGATAGTAATATGCGATGGATCATCGGAAAGCAAACTCGTAATTTTTATCTAAATATGTTTTTATTTCACAGAGGTAAAGTCAAGCAAAGAAACATGGCCTCACTAAGCCAATTCCTACTTTTATATTTCGTTTTCTTCTCATACTAAAGGCTAGATCCAATAGGATGTAGCAACCATGTAGTGTTCTTGTTGTTGCTGGTAATTGATGTCTTTTGATCTAAAAGTACTAGTGAATCTTGTTTCTTTGAGCAAGGTCTGCTCAAATGTTGTGAGATGGAACTTAAAATTATCTCATAACCACTTCCACTTGCAGAAGTCTCCTGCTGGTAATCATTGACCGATTGGTAATACTAGGCCTTGTCATATAAGATTGTCAAGGGAGTAATCAATACTTAAAAAACTTCGTAGTTGAACTTGCCTGGAAATAATTATCTGGCAAAAGAGTCATATAAGAGGGAATTAAATCCGTAGAAACTTCTAATTTTCGCTCTGAAGATTCATCTCTCATTAGCTAACTGATAGAACATTTCAATAATAATTTTAATTTAACCAAATAGATTCAAATCAAAATACATTTTGATTTAACTTCTTCGCAGTGCTTAAAACATCTTTAATGAGCAATTTGGGCTAAGCTCTTGTGAAAAAGCCAATGAAAAGATTTTTTCGAAATTCCAGCTCAAGTTTCTTTTTTTCAGCTCCAAACAGGTCGTACATCAAGCCATTGGGAGACGGGAAGAACAGCTATAGTGCACATATGTCCTTTAAATTAATGTCTCTCGAATCATATATTAATATAAACATTTAATAGTTGGAAAATACGGTTGAGGTGTTGTTAAAAAATGATTGTAGTGAAATCAGATAATATTAACTTTGAAAAAATATATTCTGGCATTATATTTCATGTATTAATGGGCGGGCTAGCTGCGCTGAAGCGAATTTTAAATAAGTTTGGAGTGAAATTTACCTGGTTTTTGCTTAATTTTGCTCTCCCAAAATCCTGTTACTAGTTCTAATATATATGCTTATATAGTAGAAATCATTCTTTTTAAAGGTCTCTTATTCCTAAAATTTTAACTAGTCTTCAATTAGATCCAGAGCTTACTGCGCGCACCTCCTTCGTGCACAAAGATCCAATGTGCGTATATATGAATGGCATTTATATGTGCTTCAGTAGAAGAGTGTTAGTTCCAATATATTGCTTTGCTCATGGTAATTGATCTATTTATCATTTGTCGA